GGATATAAAATCAACATAGAAAAATCATTAGCATTTCTATACACTAACAATGAGCAAACTGGAAAAAGAATGTATGAAAACAATTCCATTTACAATAGCCTCAAAAAAAATCAAATACCTAGGTGTAAACCTAACAAAAGATGTGAAAGACCTCTACAAGGAAAACTATACACTTCTGAAGAAAGAGATTGAGGAAGACTATAGAAAGTGGAGAGATCTCCCATGCTCATGGATTGGTAGAATCAACATAGTAAAAATGTCGATACTCCCAAAGTAATCTACATGTTTAATGCAATTCCCATCAAAATTCCAATGACATTCATTAAAGAGATTGAAAAATCTACTGTGAAATTTATATGGAAACACAAGAGGCCACGAATAGCCAAGGCAATACTCAGTCAAAAGAACAATGCAGGAGGTATCACAATACCTGACTTCAAACTATATTACAAAGCAATAACAATAAAAACAGCATGGTACTGGCACAAAAACAGACATGAAGACCAGTGGAACAGAATAGAGGATCCAGATATGAAGCCACACAACTATGAGCAACTTATCTTTGACAAAGGAGCTAAAAATATACGATGGAGAAATAGCAGCCTCTTCAACAAAAACTGCTGGGAAAACTGGTTAGCAGTCTGCAAAAAACTGAAACTAGATCCATGTATATCACCCTATACCAAGATTAACTCAAAATGGATCAAGGATCTTAATATCAGACCCAAACTCTTAAGTTGATACAAGAAAGAGTAGGAAATACTCTGGAGTTAGTAGGTATAGGTAAGAACTTTCTCAATGAAACCCCAGCAGCACAGCAACTAAGAGATAGCATAGATAAATGGGACCTCATAAAACTAAAAAGCTTCTGTTCATCAAAAGAAATGGTCTCTAAACTGAAGAGAACACCCACAGAGTGGGAGAAAATATTTGCCAATATACATCAGACAAAGGACTGATAACCAGAATATACAGGGAACTTAAAAAACTAAATTCTCCCAAAACTAATGAACCAATAAAGAAATGGGCAGTGAACTAAACAGAACTTTCTCAAAAGAAGAAATTCAAATGGCCAGAAACACATGAAAAAATGCTCACCATCTTAGCAATAAAGGAAATGCAAATTAAAACCACACTAAGATTCCACCTCACCCCTGTTAGAATAGCCATCATCAGCAACACCACCAACAACAGGTGTTGGCGAGGATGCGGGAAAAAGGAACCCTCTTACACTGTTGGTGGGAATGTAGACTAGTACAACCACTCTGGAAAAAAATTTGGAGGCTACTTAAAAAGCTGGACATCGATCTACCATTTGATCCAGCAATACCACTCTTGGGGATATACCCAAAAGACTGTTACTCCAGAGGCACCTGCACATCCATGTTTATTGCGGCACTATTCACAATAGCCAAGTTATGGAAACAGCCAAGATGCCCCAGCACTGACGAATGGATTAAGAAAATGTGGTATCTATACACAATGGAATTTTATGCAGCCATGAAGAAGAACGAAATGTTATCATTCGCTGGTAAATGGATGGAATTGGAGAACATCATTCTGAGTGAGGTTAGCCTGGCCAAAAGACCAAAAATCGTATGTTCTCCCTCATATGTGGACATTAGATCAAGGGCAAACACAACAAGGGATTGGACTATGAGCACATGATAAAAGCGAGAGCACACAAGGGAGGGGTGAGGATAGGTAAGACACCTAAAAAACTAGCTAGCATTTGTTGCCCTTAATGCAGAGAAACTAAAGCAGATACCTTAAAGCAACTGAGGCCAATAGGAAAAGGGGACCAGGAACTAGAGAAAAGGTTAGATCAAAAAGAATTAACCTAGAAGGTAACACACACGCACAGGAAATCAATGTGAGTCAATGCCCTGTATAGCTATCTTTATCTCAACCAGCAAAACCCCCTTGTTCCTTCCTATTATTGCTGATACTCTCTCTACAACAAAATTAGAGATAAGGGCAAAATAGTTTCTGCTGGGTATTGAGGGGTGGGAGCGGGAGGGGGTGGAGTGGGTGGTAAGGGAGGGGGTGGGGGCACGGGGGAGAAATGAACCAAGCCTTGTATGCACATATGAATAATAAAAGAAAAATGAAAAAAAAATAAAGTAAAAAAAATAAAAAATAAAAATAAATATATTGAGACTTATTTTATAGCCAAGCTTATGATCTGTGTAGGTGGCTATTTGTATACTTATAAAGAATATGTACTCTGCAAGGAAGTTAGGAGGACTGATGGTATTTTCAGGTGATCTATGTCCTTACTGATTTGCCTGCTCTGAATATTTCATATAAATGGACCACTATAATATGTAGACTGTTGTAACTGCTTTCTATCCCTTAGCATGGTAATTATAAGGTTCATCCATGTTATAACATGTATCAATATTTCATGGTATGAATATACCACATTTTACCTGTTTGCTCATCAATTTATAGACATTTGAGTAGTATCCCTTTTAGCTATTATGACTAATACTGCTATGAACATTCATATATAAGTTTTTATAATCATATGTTTTAATTTGTCTTGGTGTATACCTAGATGAGTAATTGCTGGGCCCTATGTTTGACCTTTTGAGGAACTGCCAGACTTGTCCAAAGTAGTTCCACCATTTTATATCCCCATTAGCAGTTCATGAGGGTTCCAGTTTTTCCACAGCCGCACTGACTTCTTGTTATCTGCTTTTTTGGTTTTTTGAGACAGGGTCTCTGTGTTGCCCAGGGTGACCTTGAACTTAAAATCCTCCCGCTTCCACCTCCCAACTGCTGGGATTACAGGTGTATACTACCATGCCCAACTTTGGGTTATAAGTCATCCTCATAGGTATAAACTGCTATTTTATTGAGGCATCAGTTTACTTTTTTTGTGCTATGAAACCCAGGGCCTTGCACATCTTAGGCAAGCACTATGTCACACTAAGCTACATCCCCAGCCTCAATGTGTTTACTATTAACTTATTTGTTTCTTCATATTAAGGAGAGTTTTACAGATGATGTATAGGTAGATCTTGTTTTTTACTCTTATCTGGCCATCACTCCCTTTTAAGAGCCTGTTAAAATGTACCATAATCATTGATGGTGTTGAGTTGAGATCTACTACTTTATTATTTTCTTTCTGTTTCTTCTTTATGGGCTCAATATTCAGAATTCAGTTTCAATTTACATATTAATTTCTTAGTCATATTTCTGTGGGTTTTGTTTTTGTTTTTTGTTTTGCTTTTTGGTTTCTCTAACAAAACTATAAGTCTGCTTATGGTTAATACTATTATTGCTTCATGTAAAGTGTAGAAATCTGCATCTGTTTTACTTTGTTGTAGTCATCTGTATGTTGCATTTGTTGGATGCATTACACACTCCACAAAATAATGTTTAATATTTGCTTTAAGGAAATTAAGAGAAAAATTATTTAAACTGCATTTTTTAACCTGGGGATAAATAATATACAGTGTTCTTTATTTCTTCTGGATAATTCAAGTTTCCTTCTGGTATTAATTCCTTCAGCCAGGATTTCCAGCCTGACACTTATAATGTATATCTGTGGACTGTCGTCTCTATTTCATGTTTACTCTTGAAGAACATTTTTGTTGCTTATAGAATTCTAGATTGACAACTTTTTCTCTTTCCATACTTTTTCCTGGCCTCATACTTTTGAGTACAGACAGCATTAATTCACATCCTTGATTTCTTACATATAATAATGTCAGTTTTCTTTGGTTGCTGTCTAGAATTTATCTTTGGTTTTCAGAAGTTTGGCTACATGTGCCTTAAGGATAATTTTCTTCATATTTATCCTAACTGCGGTTCTTCGGAGCTTCTTGAATCTGTAAATTTATGTCTTTTCTCAGTTTGGGAAGTTTTTGAACATAATTTCTTCAAATATGTTTTCTACCCATTCTGTCTTCTGCTCTCTTTTTCAGATTCTACTTAGACATTTCAGTATTCCCCCTCAATTTCTGAAGGCTCTGTACATTTTATCTTTATTCTCTATTTTGTAATGTTCATGTTGAATAATTTCCACTGCACTATTATCTTCAAGATCACTTACACTTTCTATATTGCCTCATTGTGCTGCAGTAATCCCAGCTAGTTTTTACTTCATACATTGTATTTTTTGACTACAGAATTTTTATTTTTTACAGTTTCTGTTTCTAAACTGAATTTTCTTTTCATTTATGACAGGTATATTTTCTTATTATCTGATTGAACACAGTTATGCCTACTATTTTAAATTTTTTGTGTGCTATTTCAAACATTTGGATCTTGGGTTTGGTCTCCAGTGATTACCTTTTTTCTTGAGAATAGGTTATTTTCATGGTTCTTTTTATGATGAATAATTTCAGAATGTATCCTAGGCATTGCAAATGTTACATTGTGGAGACTGGATTCTTTTACAGTCTTCCAAAAAGTGTTTACATTTTTGTTTTAGCATTAATTTGATTTGACTTAAACAATATTCTTGTCTCTTAGGTACCAGTTGATATTTCATTTCCTTTATCCTTCACTGAACTACTTGTCATCTGCCCCATATTGGCCTGTGGTTTTTCAGGCCCAAAAGTCTGTTTTTTCTCTTACCTGAGATTTAGACTTCCTGTATGATTGTGATCCCACTGTGTCCATTTTACCAAGTGTCAGCTAAAATTGATCCCACTCGGTCCATTTTACCAAGTGTCAGCTCCTATCTGGAATAATCCTACTTTATTCACTTTTGAAGACCTTGAGATAGTGTTTTGGTTTGTTTTTGTTTTTCTTGGGGAGAAAGTTATTTCTTTTTTTGCTGCTGCATTTGTATTTTCCTCGAGTTTATAATTGTCTGCTACATGGTCAACTTGATAGAAGCCTGCTTGTCCATACTAGAAACTGAATTTCCTATCTTTAATTTCACACATATCTAGATTATTCTTAATCTTATATTTTAATAGTTAAGAAAATTTTAAATTTATACTTTTATACTGAATTGAACTTGTAACAAACTTTTTTCCTAGACTTCAAATTCTTTAATAGATAATGTTCCTGAGAAAGACCTCAGACCAAAAAGAGACACAGATATAACTTCTGAAAGTGACTATGGAAACAGAAAAGAATGCAATAAAAAAGTTCCTAGAAGATCAAAAGTTCCATATTATGCCAGAACTATTCAAACTATTAAGCACCACAATAAAAACAACAACACTTTTTTAAGGTATTTGTTTTAGTATTCCAGATAAGTCACAAAAATCGAAGTTAATATGGTTGTCTTCTTCCTTAAAGCTGTCTCATAGTGTTAAATTTATCAGTTTATTGACATTAGAGAGTTTCCTTTTCAGCCTTGTTGTCTCAGATTGTCATATAGCCTGCCCTCCACATCCACAGGTTCTGCATGCATGGATTCAATCAACCTCTGATGGAAAATATTTTTTACAAAAGTTTGCATTGTTATTATAATGGCTCACCATACTGAATGTCAATGTTCTCTAAATAATACACTATAATAATTATTTCATAGCACTTATATTGTACTGGGTATTATAAGTAATGTAGAAGTGATTTATAGTATACTCAAGGATATGCATACATTATATGCTGAGACTTGAAAATCTGTAGATTTTGTTTCTAAAGGGGTCCTGGAACCAGTACCCACAAAAACGTGGAAAGCTGTACACTCATGTAAAGGATTACTTTTCTCTGTCTTATTTCTGAAGTTGAGAAATTAATTTATAAAACCAAAATTCCACTCTATTCATTTAACAGTAGGAAGTAAGACTGATAACTTTGAGTCTATATGACTACCCTTTTCTCTCTGTGTATGCAGATCGAGATGAGAAGCCAAGCCTTCCTTAAGTGGTACCTGCTAAGCTTAGAATCCAAGGTGAATACGATGATTGTGTTTAATGCCATGAGGATAAGGGCATCTCCTGTCTGTATTTTCATAATTGAACTTACCATAACAGTTGTTAAAAAGCTACACTAGGATGGGCATGATCAACTTTTTATCTGTTCTCCTTTTTAAAAAAAAATATTCTTTTATTATTTTAATTCTTCCATAGCTATCCAATTACACTTTTATGTATAAAGTCAATCAGTTCACTTAAGTCAGGGCATACCCTAGAATTTCTTCAGTCTCTAGATAGTGATGTAATGTGTTTATTTTGTTCTATTACATGTTAATTTTAGATTTTTAACTTTCATAGGGTAATTATATTTACCATTTTTCCAGTTCTTCCGTATTATCTTACCATAGTCCCGGGTACTGACGTTTCTTTTAAATTATTCTATTGTATGCAAGGCTTATACCTCATCTGAATATGTTGAACACTGAACATTTATAAAATCATTATTTTTTTCAATCTTGAGGTTGGCATTAATCAACAAGCACACCCATTACAAAATCCATGAAGCAGTGTTTCCAGGTTACATCACTTAATTTAATACCTTTTTTCAAAGCTATTTGCATATAGTACTGAAAACGTTAATATTAGAAAACAGTATAAATAATGTACTTTTGTTTGGTATCCCTGTGTTTTATTCTCTGCAGTTGTAATCGTAAAATGAAACAACCTTACTTTAAAGATCTGTATGTAAGATCATCTTTAGCAAACTGCAATATATTACCAGAATTAGAAGAACAGAAGACTGGAATAATTAAAGTAGACAAAAGCGGCTCAGATGACAACACTTACCGGGTATGATTTAGGAAATTAAGAAAAAAATGTATGCGAAAAACCTTAATTACAGCTACAAAGTCTCAGAAAATAATAGAATTACAGTAATAGAGTTGCCTTCACACAATTTTTGCTACTGGTTTTCTCCCCTTATTCTCAACTATGGAGAGTTTAATATTGAGAAAAAATACAAAGTATTTTGACAATAATAGTAGCAGCTAACATTTATTGAGTAGTTATGTGCCATGCACTATGTTCTGCACTGTTTTGTATGCTTTACATCTATTAATTTAATTCTCACCATAGCTCTTTGAAATAGATACTATTATTTCTATATATAAATGAAAAAATTGGGGCAGTGAGAAACTTCCAAGTTCGTGTAACATTGTTTTCTTTCAGTCCCTTGTTGAACAACTAGACCAAGAGAGAGAGATGAGATGGAAAGCCGAACAAGCTGAAAAGAAACTCATGGATTATATTGATGAACTGCATAAACAAGCGAGTGAAAAAAAAGATGTTCATAGCCTGGCTCTACTTACCACAGACAGGTAAAGCAAAAGTATATAAACCTAAAATATCTTGTAGCATAAAGAATACTGAATTTATAATTGAAATACATTAGTTTAAGTTTGCTGTAGTGAAATTTGATCTGATGTCTTCGTGTTCTTTCATTACATAAATAAAGAATTCTGAATAAATTTATGTGAGCCTTCAAACTGGAAAGTATCAAGTAGATAATAAGTAAAGAAAAACAAGCAACTAGAGCAGGGATTGGCAAGCTTTTTCCGTAAAGAGCCGGATTCTATAAAGGGTGGGGTTTAAAGTTTTTTGGGTCCTATCCAAGCTCTTGTGACATACTTGTCTTCTGCAATGACCTTTCGTACCAAATAGCCTGGGTTTCTTTTTTCTGTTCTTATTTTTCCATACCATCTCCCATTTTATTTGGTTTTTTTTCCCGAATGGCATTCTTTAATACAAGTCTGTCTTACTCCATTCTAAGAAAAATGACAATTTTCTAAAAGTAATTTTCCCTTCTGTTTTCTATAATTGTTTTTAAAGTTATACCTTTCTTCAAATGACTGTAAGGTTTTTCCACAGAGTTCTTTTTATAATTGTTTCAACTTACCCTTGAAGGAACACAGGTTTTGTCTGTACAGTAAGATAATTCTCATAAGATCTTATTTGAGTAGTAAGTTAATGTGCACATTTCCCAGCCCAGTCCTCAGTTTAAGCATTTATCTGGTAACGTTTTGTGATACTGAGTTAGTATTTTCTACATTCTACCTTCTCTTATATGTTGTACTTATGTTGTATAAAGAAAACTATTGATACCTAACATACACTGTGAAAACCTCTGTGTAAGTTAGGCAACCTATGACACATTGTGCTTTTCTGGTCATATCACCACCACTCACTTCCTGAGATTAGACACTCAGGAATCTTGAAAATTTCTGTATGTGCCTTGGTATAAACTCTATATACCTGTACTTAGTATAGGGTCTGGCATCTAGGTGCTAAACTATGCATATTTGTTATATCAAAAAATAAATCTTATCTAGTATGATATCTTTATTGTCCAGGACTCCTTGATAGACAGATGAGTTTATCTAATTGCCAACTGAAAATGCTTGTCTATATTTCTCATAAGTCCCTTAAGGTTGGCATATCCTTTGACAGACATATCCTGCCTCTTTACTCCATATTGTTTGCCCTAATAAATTTGTACCCAGTCAGCCATTGAAATAAGAAATCCAGGAATAATTGTTTGGCTTTTTTGTAGTCTTTCTCATATCCTACAGCCATCAACATTAATATTTTCATTCTACTTCTCAGAAGATGAACTGTCCCTTCACTTTTCCAAAACTGTTGTTTTAATCTAGGCCTTATCTCTTGCCTAGATTAATTGCTGTTCTACTTATCTGTAGCTTCTCTGCCTCAATCCCACATAGTCCAAAGATAATAAACTCTTTAGCACTCTCTCATATAACATGTCAAACTGTAGTTGAGAGTAAACAAAGACTTTTACTCCCATTAAAGACGAGGGGAGATGGTAAGGACAAGAAATGACCATAATATAGAAGTTGATTGTGTATGTTGTTGTTTTTGTATGGCCTGAAAATTACAATAGCAACATACTGGGAAGCTGCCTGGCTCAGTAATTCCTTCATATGACTTTGTCTTTTTTGAAAACTAGATTTGAGCCAACTCCTTAACTGTCATATTTAGCTAAGTAGTAGGCACAATATTAGTTTCAGATAAGGCATATACTACTTATTAGCTATACTTACCTTCCTCTCTGCTGTAAGCTATAACATTGGCTATAATTTTTATCATTTTTATGTGTATAATGTACTTACCTCCATGTGTAATTTCTGCTTTAGACTAAAGGACATTATTTTTAGAGAGAGAAATTCCAAGGTACAACTTGAAGTTATGGTTCACAGACTTCAAAATGAAATTAAAAAACTAACTGTTGAATTAATGAAAGCAAGAGATCAACAAGAGGATCACATTAGACACTTAAGAACCCTGGAAAAAGCATTAGAAAAAATGGAGAGACAAAAAGGGCAGCAGCAGTTGGCACAGGTATTTCTCTATTCTTAATATATCAATGACATGGGTTAATACAAATTCATAGTTTCTATCCTGAAACAAATTATACCATATAGTGAACCTAAAAGATGTTAGGCTATATGCAAAAATTAAATTATTGTTAGTTTAAACAGAACGATCATGTGGCATTTTGAGCAGTGTCTAAATTAAGGTTACCAATACTTATACAAACAAGTGGAAGTATTGCAGGTAGCTAGGTTTGTGTTTAGAGAGAGCTAGGTTTTGAGTCTTTGGACTGCTTAAAGGAATTTCATTCTTATTCTTTCTGAATGAAAATTCTCATCAAAATCTGTTACGCAAATAAACAGGAGTTATGCCAGTATATGTGTGCTTCCAAGACTTATGTGATCATAGTATTGTTAATTAAATAAATTTTGAAAACCAACTTATTCTCTAGGTCCTGTCATTTAGATGGCACTTTTATTATGGAAACTGGCATTAAAATAGAAGCAGGGGAGATTATTATCTAAGTACTGTAATTGTGTACTTCACTCAGATGAGACTTATCCAAGAGGCAGAACTCAAAGCTTCAGCTGCTGATAGAGAAATAAGCTTACTTCAAACTTCCCTGCACCAAGAAAAGGAACAAGTGCAACAGCTTCATCAGCTTCTGGCATTGAAAGAACAGGAACACAGGTAAGTGAAAAATACATCAGAAAAATAATAACTTTTAAAAATAGAAAAAGAAAGCTACTAGGTTCCCCCGCCCAATTATTTAAAGATAGTAATTGACTATTAATGAAGTCTTAACATAATTAACTCAAGGAAAGTACCATGTTTATGTATGCATTAGAATCAATTCTATAAAAAGAATCAGTAGCTAAAAAACAAATGACTTTATTGTCACCATTTGAGATACAGACTTATAACAATGAATCTGATTTTGCATTTCTCCAAATACAACCAAAAGTTGATCCTTGTATTCAGAGGAAACTAGTTTAATAGGCCTCCAAGTAACTACTTGTTAATTTAATCAATATTATTTCTTCCTCTTGAAGCGCAGGGGTCTGTGAACTCTTTATGTAAAGGACCACATAGAAATTATACACAAAAACTCATACTTTTTCTGTACGTACCCATGCCCAATTTCTATTTTAAAGCGAAGAACTGACCTTAATATTAGAAAGGGCTGGCAGAGTGGCTCAAGAGGTAAGAGTGCCTTGACTAGCAAGCATGAGGCCCAGTATCACCAAAAAAAGAAGAAAAAAAAATATATATATATATATATATATGACATGTAAAATACTAAGAACTGTTTAAAGACCTTCCGGTCTTCTTACTTGGGCATCATTCTTTGTATTTGTTTTTCATTCCAGGAAGGAACTTGAAACAAAGGAGTTTTTTAGTGATGCTGAGTTCCAGGATGCCTTAGCTAAGGAAATAGCCAAAGAAGAGAGAAAGCATGAGGAAGAAATAAAAGAATACCAAGAAAAGATTGATGTATTAAACCAACAGTATTTGGATTTGGAAAATGAATTTCGCATTGCTTTAACTGTTGAAGCCAGAAGATTTAGAGATGTAAGAATTGGCATCTGTGTCTTTAATGGAAATAGAATTAGCCAAATATTAATTTGTTAAGAGGACTATATTTGAGAATCCCGGCTCTATTTTTATGTTGCTTATATGATCTTAAACAAATTACATAAAACCTTAGATCCTTGGTTTATTCACATAAATAAAAAATGTGGCAGAAACTAGTTAGTTACAAATGGTGAAGTAAAGAGAGTGCTGGAATAGGAACTGGGAAATCTGAATTCTCTCCTATTGCTGTACAGCAGGAGTTGGCAAAACTAAAAATCTCCAGGGCCAAATATGGCCCACCACCTATTTTTTTAATAAAGTTTTATTGGAAAGGAGCCATGCTCATTTGTTTTTATATTATCTGTGCAGAGTATGTATTTATCATAGAGACCATGTGGCCTGACCTGTCTGGCTCTTGACAGAAAAAATTTGGCAACCCCTGCTGTAAAAAAGCAGTCTTGCTCCTGAGGCCAGTCACACCAAGTATAAACTAGATCCCATTTCTTTTACCTACTTAAGTATGAGGTTTCAACAAATCTTCCCTCTTATATCAGCAGTTTTTCCTCCGTTTTGGGCCATTTCCTTCAGGATACATAGATGCCGTGATTTCTTTCATCTTAAGAAAACTGTCCTGATCCCATTTAGCTTGTTTTTCTGCTTTCAGTTACAACAGAACTTGTCAATATGTACATTTGCTGTCCCTGATTTCTCTGCTTCTGTGTTATCTCATGCTCTGATGAGACTTTTGTTTGTACTGCTCTAATAGCACTGCTGTAATCAAAAGCAGCAACATCCACACTGGTGAAAGTCATCAGTTTAGTACTCATTTGATTTGACCTAAGATCAGCCTAGGAACAGAGTTGATCTCTGCCTCCCCTCAAGACTCTTTTTCTCTGAAACTTCATTCCTGGAACTCCTTTTCTTTTAGACACACTCAGTCTTTTGGTAGTTTTCTATCATCATTTACTATATCTTTAGCCTGGACCTTTCACCAAAATTCCAAACTTATATGTATAACCCTCTGTCTAGTATCTCTGCTTAATTACTGACTTTCTCTACAACTTCATTCAACAGTCTTCCCATCTCAGTTAACAACACCTCCAGCTTTTAAAGTGCTTAGGCCAAAATAGTCATCATTAGCATCATTCTTTCTCTGGACACCTCATACCCAGTGCTTAAATTATCACCATTATTTTAATATACATATGATCATTTCTTACCATCTGTTTTATTTTAAGAACCTTTTAACTGATCTTCCTCTTACTATCCTTGAACTCCCCGGCCTACACACACCAATTCCTGTTTATGCTGGCCACAGCATCTTCAATGTTCTATTAAAATGTAAGTTAGATACATAATTCCTTTTCTCAGAGGCCTCTATTATCCCTCTGTTTTACTCAGAGTAATCAAAACTCTCTGTAACTTTACCCTCTGATTTCATCTATTATCTTCTCCCTTTACCCACTGTCACTCCAGTGACATCAGCCTTTGTGCTTTTGCTCCAACTTGCCAGGTACATTCCTCCCTAGAATATTTCCCCACATATTTGTAGAGCTCCCTTCCTTACCTCCATCAATCATTACTGTAGTGTTAGGTTTTCAATAATTACGCTATTTAAAATTGAACCTATCTCCCTTAACAGTTCACATGCTTCTAACCTTTTTTTTTTGTGCTGAAGCACGTAGTGTTTAACATGATAACATAATTTATGCTTATTGCTATATTGTTAGTCCCTACCCACTAGAATATAACCTTTACAAAGGAAGAGATTTTAGTCTGCGCCATTTATTGATATATTACAATGTCTAGAAAAATGGCTCGCACACAATAGGCACTCAAGAATTATTTGTCAAATGAATGAATTAGATTCACTAATTCCCTGGATAACTTTAGACCAATGAGTAACCTTCCTGTGTCTTTTTCATTGCTGAAATTTGTAGATTGAGATAAACTATCTCTAAATTGTATTATTTTGCTAAAACTCTCTAAAAATGAAAGATACAAACTGTTTCCATAAGCAGATATTTTCTAATTATTTATAAAACTGCCATTTATAATGCAATTTTAAAATACAGGTTAAAGATGGTTTTGAAAATGTTGCAACTGAGTTAGCCAAGAGCAAACATGCTCTTATTTGGGCTCAACGAAAAGAAAATGAATCTTCCTCTTTAATTAAAGATCTGACCTGTATGGTGAAGGAACAAAAAACAAAACTTGCAGAAGTTTCCAAATTGAAACAGGAAACAGCAGCAAATTTACAGGTGATACTTTATAACATGTTTCCGTTGAATTTTTTATATAGATAGCCTCAAGTGTCATAATGATTTTAGGAAGTATACAAAATGAACTTTTAGATTGTATTAGGTATTTTGATGTATATGAGAAAAGTACAGCTAAGGAGATTAAATTTACAATATCACAAATTGTATTGCTTACATTAAAATAGTATTTAAGTAAAAAAATTAGTAAATGCATTTTTTTAAACGTTAAATAGATAACAACTGTACAGTGATAATCTAAAAATTAGAAAAATGATACTCGTATTGAAGTTTAGAAAACACTGCTTGGATTGTCAATAGTAATTTTGTGATGGTGTGGTGTGGTGGTGGTGATTTTTAAATATGCTTAACTATAATATTTTTTAAATTAATGTCTTTACTGGGCGCCAGTGGCTCATGCCTGTAATCCCAGCTACTGTGAGGCAGAGATCAAGAGGATCATAGTTCTAAGCCAGCCCAGGAAAATAGTTCACAAGATAGTATCTTGAAAAATAACCCAAAACAGGTCTGGCAAGTGGCTCAAGTGGTAGAGTACCTGCCTACCAAGCATGAGGCCCTTAATTCAAACCTCAGTACTTCCCCCCAAAAAATAAATAATAGTGTCTTCATTACTGTTGTCTCACTTTTAAACACTTGTACTATTTTGTCAAAGATTAACTTCCGGGAAGTAACCTTTAGACCTTTGACAGAAATGCATCATGAAAAATTTTGAATATTATAGGTACAGTTTCTCTTTTATAATTTTAGAATAAAATTCAGAGTTTGAAGGAGTCGCTTAAAATTTGAATATTTATTTTATATTCTATACTTAACTGTCATTAATAAAACAAAACTGATACAAAATTTGATAAAATGTACTCTATTTGCTTAGATAACATCTTTTTCATTATAAGAAGCAGAAATGAAAAAATAGCAAAATACTTAAATAGATAATTATTTTACTTTCTTAAAATTTTTTGTGGGATATACAGAATAAAATCAACACTCTTGAAATTTTGATTGAAGATGACAAGCAGAAGAGTATTCAAATAGAACTCCTCAAGCATGAAAAAATCCAGCTTATTTCCGAGCTAGCAGCAAAGGAATCACTGATTTATGGTTTAAGACAGAAAGAAAAGTATGGGGACATGAACTGGCAAAACAGGGTAAAATTCTCAAATTTTCAAAGGGATAATAACCATCAATAAAAACCAGTCGGTTTGGGCGTTGGAGGGAAAAGGGTTTAATTGCCTATATATGCCAAGAAAAAAGATGATGCTTTGTCTGGAAAGATAAGTAGGCATTTGGCAGCCAAACAGGAATGAAAGCCTCATAGGGAACTGGAAATTATTACATTAGTTAAGAAGTTATAGCAACAAGGCATGGAGGCACATGCCTGTCCCAACTACTCAGAAGGCTGAAACAGAAGGATCACTTGAGTCCAGGAGTTTGAGACCAGCCTAGGCAACATATGAACAAAAAGAACTGGGTGCTGGGGGCTCATGCCTATCATCCTACCTACTTGGGAGGCTGAGTTCAGGAGGATCCTGTTTGAGGCCAGCCAGGGCATATAATTCTTTAAGACTGAAACCCCATCTTCAAAATAATGAGAGCAAAAATGGACAGGACAGGTGGCAAGTGACCCAGGAGGCAGAGCACCTGTTTTGCAAGTGCGAAGCCCTGAGTTCAAACTCCAGTCCCACAAAAAAAGCAAAATTTTTTTCAGAAAAGATAGTTCTGATACTTTAATTTTTTATTTAAATTTATTTATTTTTGTTTGATTGTTAAGACAGGGTCTCACTATGTAGCTGAGGCTGGCTTTGAACTTGATCCTTCTGTCTCAGCCTCCTGATTGCTGGAATTACAGGTGAACTCTACTATACCCATCTTAAATTTATTTTTTTAATAAAGATGTAAAAGCATAAAAATTATACTCATGGAATACCATGATGTTTTGATATGTATATATTTCCTGATGTTTAAATCAGGGTAAAAATAAGTGAATCCTCAAATATTTATCAGCTTTTTATGTTGAAAATACCCAAAATGCATTATCACCATTATTTTTGACTGTTTTCTTTCTATGTAATTTGGCCACTTTGTTGTATATTTTAAAGTGGTGCAGCTAAATAAATCATTAAAAATAATTCTTATATAATGATTTTAAATTATTTGTATGGTATGCAGTATTCCTTTTTTATTGAAATATTTATAATATATATATTCTATCATGCATGCAGAAATATAAAATAGTGTGTTAGTGATAACCACTAGGCTTAGGTAAGCCTTTAATTTCATTCTCTTTCCAATCACTATATAAACAAGGGAAAATACACTGTTTCATGTCATTTATAGATATCTTAAAAAGTGTGAATAGCTAATTGTTGATCTTAATGGAACATTGCTCATTTATCCATTCCCTATAGAAATTTTAATATGATTGTTTGATTTTATTCATGATTTTTAGACTTTTAAGTAGCCCAGCTATTTAGAAGGCTTTTGTTTGCTTCCCCTCTGTTCTTTATATTGTATTATTATGTGCTTTAGTTTTTTATTCAGTTTACTATATCTTACATGGTTTTCATAAAATACAACACCTTCAAAGGTATAAAAGTTTCTAACTGATGGTGCTTATTTTTATAGGGTCATCCCTAGCCCAAAATCGTGGAAAATTAGAGGCCCAAATTGAAAGTTTATGTAGAGAGAATGAATCTCTGAAAAAAGCAACTGAAAATGATAAGGATACATTAAGAGTAAAGAGTAAAATCATGGAAGACCAAACTGAAACAATTAAAAATTAAAAAGTGTAAGTTTGACATTTTATTTTGAGAAAAGAGCAAATACAAGTTTAAAAATTTGTGAATCAAAGTATCTAAAAAATAATTTTTCTGCATGTTTCCCAACAGTTGTAGAATTTAAAACTTAACATCATGTATTCCCTTTTATAATGTTTTCCCCTATGCAATTGAAAGTGGTACCTGATATTTATTAACTTGAATTTACTTCACAATTTTATGAAAAATTTTATTATGGCCTTTGAAATAACCTGACATACTCAGTGTCAATAAAGGATTAGAAGTCATAAAAAAAATTTAGCATTTTATATTAATATCCTTTAAATAATCATTTAAAACATATCTAATTAATCAGATAGGAAACATTTGAGGTTAATAAAAATAAAACACTGATGTTTCTTCTTAAAGTGTTTACAAGAAAAAGATGAACAAATCAAAATGTTACAAGAAAAGATCACTGAAGTAGAAAAATGTGCTCAACAACAACTTGAGGAAAAGTCTTTACAACTGGATAATGTAATGGAGAAATTGGAAAGGCACAATGAAAGAAAGGAAAAACTGAAACAGCAGCTGAAATCAAAGGAAGTAGAACTTGAGGAAATTAGAAAAGCCTACAGGTATTCTATACTACTTTCCACTGGGGGAGAAAAAAATGTGGCTTGCCAGGTATGGTGGCATATGTTTGTAATCCCAGATTTTGGAGAAGCAGAGACTTTTGATTGTTAGTTTAAGGCCTACCTGGACAACTTAGACCCTATCTCAAAATTTAAAAAATAAAAATAAAAAGTCTGGGAGTGTAGCTTCATGAGAGAATGTTTGCTTAGCTTATGCAAGGCCCTGTGGGTTTAATCCCCAATACCAAAAAACCAAAATATGTCTTAATAATTTCATATACTTAATTTACTTTTAAAATTACTTTTCTTAGTACACTTAATCAGAAATGGCATGATAAAGGAGAACTTCTATGTCATCTTGAAACACAAGTAAAAGAAGTGAAAGAAAAATTTGAAACCAAGGAAAGAAAACTTAAAGCAGAAAGAGACAAAAGTATTGAACTACAAAAGTAAGCATTAAGTCCTGAAGGACATGGGATCTCTTTAAACATGATCACTGAATTTGGGCAAGCGAAAGATGTGTAAAGAAAGAAGTGCCAAAACTATGTGGGACATAGAAATTATTTGCTAAAACTGTAGTTCCGTTATAGCTGTAAGTGAAATAATAGTTCCCACCTTCAGTGTTAGATACGAAGTTGACATACGTATTTATTTATGAATATGTATGGCTTATATGAAATATGTAATTCTTAGAATAGTACCTACTAAGTAGTAATTGCTATATGAGCATTGTTTTCATTGCTGTCAGTATTGTTTTAAAACTTTGAATGAAAGGAGCTTGTAATATCTTTGGGTGTTGTTAATTTACACTTAAACTTCTCCTTAGAAAAGAAAGTCACTTGACAGGTGTGGTGAGCTCCTGAATTTGACTGTCAAGGACAGTGAGCTCCAAAAGAGTCTAAACAGAATTAGATAGCAGTCAGCTTGCACAAACCGAGGATGAGAGCTGATTTTGATTTTAAATAGAGGGGAAAAAATGTATACTTGGCTGCCATTGTCATTTGTGTATTCTATAAAATAGTCAAGAGGAAATAAGGTTTTATCTTATATGTAAATAGCCTTCTTGAAACAATTTATAAGGCTGAAGTTCCTTGAAAAATAAGTAATATAGTTTAGTCATCAGTTTTCATGTCAAGTTACAGTGTTATCAATAGCATGGCAAATGGATAGTCAAAAAAAAAAACTAATGTGTGTATATTTTTTTTTAATTTGTTGGTTGACTTTTTTGGGGTTTTTTTTTTTTTCTTTTTTTTAAAGGGATGCAATGGAAAAGCTTCTTACTATGGATAATGCCTTTAAAAAACAAGTTGATGCAATTGTTGAAGCTCATCAAGCTGAAATGATACAACTGTCAAGTGAAAAGCAGAAATGTATTGATTGTGCAAATTTAAAGGTACTAAAATAAAATTCACTGTGATAATCAGTATTGAGTTATTGTAGCTACATAAATTAGATCTTTGGAAATTAGAAAACTTGGCATGATTTTATGACCTAATGGATATATGAAAGATGTTTCCAAAACTATCATGAAACCAGGCCTGGTAACACTTAGATTCATTGTGAAATATAGTTCTAATGAAACCTAAAATTTAAATTTGTTCCAACTTTGCACCTGCTCCATGATCCCTGGATAAAAATGTTCATGTCTAACCAATGTCATATGGAAGTCTCTGGTTACACATAATGCCCAAGGTGAGAATGTGAATGTATTCAGATACTCTATCACTACCTTAAAAAATTTCTCAGAGATCATTATTAATTTGGCCTTAAGAATATCAGCTTTTTTATTTGATAATATTGACCAAAAAAATGAGTTTCGGGTAATGCTAAATCAAAGGAAAACATCAGAATTATCTATTAAACTTTTTAGTAATATACATTAATGAACTTCCCCTCAGAGACCATATTTTTAAGATTCTGCAGATGATTCTGATGTCAGCCCTCTATTGAGCTCTGTTAGATTTGAGGATACATGTGAATATCCATTTTTCCTTGATTTTCAAGTGGTAATAAAAAAAAAAAATTCTAAGGTATCTAAGACTGGATATTCAGAAATGAGCACCTGGAAAAGAATTCGACAGAAAGACAATGTACCTGGATGTGGTGGTTCACACCTGTAACTTTCACACTCGAGAAGCTGAGGAAAGAGGATCTAGAGCTGAAGGCTAGCCTGGGCTACAGAGTGAGACCCTAACTCAAAAAAGCAAAAGAAAAACAAGTGCAGAGTAATTTCCATCTACAATGCAATTTAAGTTGTGTGTTCAAATGAAATTTCCTTCAGGTCTCTTAAGAAATAATTACAGTGAGCCAGGCGCCAGGGCTCATGCCTGTAATCCTCCTTGGGAAACTGAGATGGGGACTATCACAGTTCCAGGTTGGCCTGCGCAAGTTTGCATAACCCATCTCAACAGAAAAACAATGGGATGGCACATGCCTGTCATCCCAGCAAGAGCAGAGCTGGAAGTGTTAAACAGGAGGATCATGTACAAGGTGCCCTGTGCAAAAACCAAGATCCTTTCTCCAAAATAACCAGAGCAAAAAGGGCTACAGGTGTGGCTTAGGTGGTTGAGCACCTGCCAAGCAACATGAAGCCCTGCGTTCAAACTCCAGTACCACTAAAGAAGACAGTAATCACAATGAATAAGAAACATAGAGGTCTTTGATCCCATTTTCTGTGTGGGGAAACAGGAACTGTTTCTTTGTCTTTCTCTGCCCTCCCCCCACCCACCCACCCTGCTTCTACATACTTTACCCTATTACACTGAAATAAGTCTTTGCTAAAACTTAAAAAAAGAAAAGTATAATTTATCCAAAATTTAGTTATTTAGTGTCAAGTCAACAGGTATTTCAGGTGTTTTATTTAATATGTACCAAGTTCTTAGCAAGTATACCTCAGGTGATACCAAATGAAGTGTAAAAAAAGGCCCTTCGCTGAAAGGTTATTGAGTTCTTTGTTGGACCTCCTGGGGTATTTGTTAAGGAGTTGGAGACTAGAACCAGAGCTTGAATACAATAATCAGATATGTATGGGGGAAGTGGAATTTGGAGAAATCACAAACAGATGTTAGGAATTAGAATAAATCGTAGTTTTCAAAGGAAAAAGAGATAGGAAACCTGTTTTTGGGGTTAGGAAGAATAAAATAGAAAAGTATGATCACAGTGGTGGTGCATTAGAAATGCTGTGGTATTATAGGAGGAAGTGTTTCAAGCAAAAGTTAACAATATCACATACAGATATCATAGGGAAATAAGGTTAGGAATAAATGATAAAATGATATCAAAATGGTGGCAATCTTTAACCATCAACATTTTTTAAAATGTAGCAGAGGTTACATTGAAAAGATTTCTTTGGGTAAGGAGGTTATTTCTATTTTGAAAATCTATAAGGAACTTGTGTTTAAGTTGAATTTAGGACTTTTACAAGCAACACAGGACAATAGAAAGATAAAGTCAGAAAGCTGGGTTTCTTTGCTCACTGCAATACACAGAAATTGCACAACCTTAAGCAAATTTTCTAAGCTCTAAAGTATAGCTAAAATACATTGCTCTGTCTCTTTCCAGAAGAGTCTAATGAGAACATATCCATAAAAATACTTTGTATACTTTATAAACATTATATTTTTTTCCCATTAGCACTTGAACAAGTTACACTTTACTAACCTTACTGTGTATTAAATGAATCACAGTTACAAAATGCATAAGAATAAATTGTGACTTTTCTTCCAGAATGCATTTTTTAAATATCTTTTCTTTAGAAAATTAAAATGTAAAATTTACACATTGACTTAGGTTCATCGAGTTGAAGAGGAAATGCGTGAACTTCTTGAAGAAACATCTAAGAACAAAAAAGTAATGGAAGAAAAAATTAAACAACTTGCTTATGCTCTAAAAGATGTTCAGCAAGAAGTGTGATGGTTCTGCAAATGGATTTAATTGAAACGGACCGGCAGACCTATTGTAAAAATGATTAAATATTGTAATAGTAGTAACTGCCACGACTTTGAAATGTCTCTTTCTACACATTTCATCATGAATATATATTAGAGACTTTTGATCAAATTTATTGTATATGTAGGTTTTTATAATAAATTGTTGATAATTATTTCTATTAGAAAAACCTATCATAATAACTAGATTCAAAACACTTTTTCTTGTTTCTGTTCTATATACTTTGGTAATTACCAAATTTGCCTACAAATTTGTAACTGAAGATTAATATTTTGGCTATATGAGGGAAAATATTTTAATCATTGTTATTAACCTTATTGTGTTGATGAAGAACTAATTATATTTATTGGTTGTCCTTTAGTTAACATAGCTCCATTCTTTTAAAGTGCTTATAAGGTGTAGCCAAAAAGTATTTGAAGGCTGTCCGATAAAAGATGTGGCACTCTTTTTTGAATAGTACTAGAATTTGAAAGATGTGGCATTCTTTTTGGGTTTTTTCTCAGACTGTTTTCCTTTTTATTTCTTAACATAAATTAATAGTATAAGGAGGTTTCATTGTGATAATTCCATAGATGCATACAGTGTACTTTGAACAAGTTCTCCTCCTCTTATTATATTACTTTTACGCCCTCTCCCTCCTTCCCCCTTTTTTCAAACAGTATTTGGTGATTTCTTTCTATAAGAAGATACACATAAATACACACTTACATATGTAAAATACTTTGATATCTGTCAGCCCTTGTATCTGCTTCTTCCCATCCCTTCACTGATCTTCCGCCCCCACCCCCACTCTCGCTCCCGCCGAGACACTTTTACACTAATTTCCCATTATCATAATCATCGTTATCTTAGGTCTAGACTCCACATGAGTTGAAGACATGATATTTGACTTTTTGAGGTTGGCTTAGCTCATTCAACATGATAGTCTCCAGTTCCATCCATTTTCCTACAAAGGACATCATTTCTTCTTTATGGCTGAAAAATACTCCATTGTGTGTATATACCATATTTTCTTTATCAATTCAGCAGTTTTGGGGCACCTGAACTAATCCACAACTTAGCTATAGTGAAGAGAGCTGTGATAAACATGGGTATATAGGAATCGCTATTGTATATTGTTTTATACTCCTTAGAATATATGCCTGAGTGTAGTCATGAGATATGTCTATATTTAGTTTTCTGAGGAACCTCCACACCTCCATAGTGTCTGGGCTAGTTTATATTCCTACTAGCAATGTATGGGGGTTTCTTTTTCCCCCACATCCTTCCCAGCATTTGTTGTTAGGTTTCTTAATGATTGTGATTCTGACAAGGGTGAGATAAACTCTCAGTGTAATTTTAACTAGCATTTTCTATATGACTAAGGATGTCATCTCTTCATATTTTTATTAGTCATTCATACTTCCTCTGAGAACTGTCTGTTTAATACTCTTGCCTATTTATTAATTGGATTGTTTATTCATTTGGTGTTCAATTTTTTGAGCTCTTTGTATATTCTGAATATTAATTCTACCTGTTGAATAACTGGCGTTTATTTTCTCCTGTTCTGTGGTTGTCTCTCCATTCTAGTAATTGTTTCCTGTGATGTAAAGAAGCTTTATAATTTAATGCAGGCTCAGTCATTTCTTGCTCTTATTTCCTGGGCAATTAGAGCCCTATTCCATAGGCAATTTAACACCAACAAAAAAAAAAAAAAAAAAAAAAAAAAAAAAAAAAAAACTATGGAAGACCAGAGTGTAGGCCAATTATTTGTGTTTTCCTGCAGTAATTTCAAAATTTCAGATCTTACATTATTTGGTCCATTTTGAATTGATTTTTGTATAGGGTAAGAGATAGGGGTCTAGTGTCAGTCTTCTCCATGTAGATAATGTTTTCCCAGCACCATTTCATAAAGAGGCTGTCTTCCCCAATGTCTATTTTGGCTCCTTTGTCAAAAATCAGATGACTAGCTGTGTGGGTTTATTCCCAGGTCTTACTCTGTTCCCTTGGTCTTCATGTCTTTTTTTGTGCCAGTACCATGCTGGTTTTTGTGACTATGGCTCTGTAGTACATTTGAAGTCCACTGTTGTGATACCTCTAGAGTTCCTCTTTTTGCTCAGAATTGCTCTTATAAAAAAAAAACTCTATCAACTCTAAAAAAAAAAGAATCTTGCCTCTTATATTGGAGGTCCTTTTATGTTTCCATATGACTTTTAGGATTGATTTTTTCTATTCTGAGAAAAAAGACATTGAGAATTTTGGAAAATCCAACAAGGTAGCCTTTTTGATACTCACCTGTCCTTTATCCCTTTCAGTTCAGAGTCAGAAGTCTTTGCTATTCATGTAAAGATCCTCAAGTCTTGTGGGTCCTGCTGTGCATAGTTCTTCATAGGATCATTCTGTATAAGATTCCATCCCATTCCTGTTTTCCTGGATAATCCAAGACAATCTCTTTTCATCTCAAGAGCTTAATTGCATTCTGAGACAGATCCTCTGCTAACATGTGACAGGCAACCAGACATTGGGAAATCATGTTTTTGCGGAGGAGAGCATTAATCTGTTAATCGCGCAGCTACTTGCGAGAGGGCTGCCCCAGGAGGAAGTTGGGAGGTTAAGGTTACCTGGGAAACTAATAAGTCCCTTCTGTCCTATGCGGGGTGTTCAATCCGCTAGAACATAATGGATTGCTTCCATGGCATCCATACTGTGATCCACCTAGCCCTAAATAGCTAATCACAGCTTATAGTTGCAAAACAATCCTGGCTTCTTTGCATCCCAGCAGGAAGCTCTTTCAGAATCATCAACAAGACTATTTTTAGACTACAGAATGTTCCAATGCTTTTCAGGAAAGAGGGAGTCCTAGGGCAGGTTCTGTTCCTTAACAGAAGCTGGAATGGTGGTGGCTGTGGTGTCAGGTTCCATGTCTAGGCCAGTCAAGGCAGCTTCCTGGTAGGTCTGTGTTTAAATGCCACGGATGTGCCCCTGCTCACTCCTCCCCCACCCACCCGTTATCCCATGCCCATGCTGTGGCCATCTGGCCACCGAATGGGTTACTTGAGAACTCAGCCCGCACGCCCCTTTACGTGCACAGAATGCCTCCTACTGCCCCAAGATGTGGCATTCTTATAAAGCATAATGTATCCATCACTCACAGTTACCCCTTTTTTATACTGCATGACTTTTCCTTAAGGAGTACATTTAAGATTTTATAAGCATTGTTCCAGAAGAAGAATAATACTGTTCCACTCTTACTCCCCCTTTTTCCCTCTATAGAGTTATTCCTTTGCAAACTAGAAACATTAGCCCATTTCAATGATAAGTCTATATTGCTATGATTTAACTTTCTATCACTCTATGCTGTGTATATAAAGCAGAAATCTAATTCTGTGTCCACCCTACTATTTCTTTTTTTTTTCTTTTATTATTCATATGTGCATACAAGGCTTGGGTCATTTCTCCCCCCTGAGCCCACCCCCTCACTTACCACCCACTCCGCCCCCTCCCTCTCCCCCCCTCAATACCCAGCAGAAACTATTTTGCCCTTATTTCTAATTTTGTTGTACAGAGGGTATAAGCAGTAATAGGAAGGGACAAGGGTTTTTGCTGGTTGAGATAAGGATAGCTATACAGGGCATTGACTCGCATTGATTTCCTGTGCGTGTGTGTTACCTTCTAGGTTAATTCTTTTTGATCTAACCTTTTTCTAGTTCCTGGTCCCCTTTTCCTATTGGCCTCAGTTGCTTTTAAGGTATCTGCTTTAGTTTCTCTGCGTTAAGGGCAACAAATGCTAGCTAGTTTTTTAGGTGTCTTACCTATCCACCCCTCCCTTGTGTGCTCTCGCTTTTATCATGTGCTCAAAGTCCAATCCCCTTGTTGTGTTTGCCCTTGATCTAATGTCCACATATGAGGGAGAACATACGATTTTTGGTCTTTTGGCCAGGCTAACCTCACTCAGAATGATGTTCTCCAATTCCATCCATTTACCAGCGAATGATAACATTTCGTTCTTCTTCATGGCTGCATAAAATTCCATTGTGTATAGATACCACATTTTCTTAATCCATTCGTCAGTGTGGGGCATCTTGGCTGTTTCCATAACTTGGCTATTGTGAATAGTGCCACAATAAACATGGGTGTGCAGGTGCCTCTGGAGTAACCTGTGTCACAGTCTTTTGGGTATATCCCCAAGAGTGGTATTGCTGGATCAAATGGTAGATCAATGTTAGCTTTTTAAGTAGCCTCCAAATTTTTTTCCAGAGTGGTTGTACTAGTTTACATTCCCACCAACAGTGTAAGAGGGTTCCTTTTTCCCCATCCTCGCCAACACCTGTTGTTGGTGGTGTTGCTATGATGGCTATTCTAACAGGGGTGAGGTGAATCTTAGTGTGGTTTTAATTTGCATTTCCTTTATTGCTAGAGATGGTGAGCATTTTTTCATGTGTTTTTGGCCATTTGAATTTCTCTTTTGAGAAAGTTCTGTTTAGTTCACTTGCCCATTTCTTTATTGGTTCATTAGTTTTGGGAGAATTTAGTTTTTTAAGTTCCCTATATATTCTGGTTATCAGTCCTTTGTCTGATGTATAGCTGGCAAATATTTTCTCCCACTCTGTGGGTGTTCTCTTCAGTTTAGAGACCATTTCTTTTGATGAAAAGAAGCTTTTTAGTTTTATGAGGTCCCATTTATCTACTATCTCTTAGTTGCTGTGCTGCTGGGGTTTCATTGAGAAAGTTCTTACCTATACCTACTAACTCCAGAGTATTTCCTACTCTTTCTGTATCAACTTAGAGTTTGGGTCTGATATTAAGATCCTTGATCCATTTTGAGTTAATCTTGGTATAGGGTGATATACATGGATCTAGTTTCAGTTTTTTGCAGACTGCTAACCAGTTTTCCCAGCAGTTTTTTTGAAGAGGCTGCTATTTCTCCATCGTATATTTTTAGCTCCTTTGTCAAAGATAAGTTGCTTATAGTTGTGTGGCTTCATATCTGGGTCCTCTATTCTGTTCCACTGGTCTT